TTTGTTCCATGTTTTAGGTATCGGGCTCGGCCGAATAGGAGAAGGGTTTAAAATGAAATGTTCATGAAATCTCGTTTAGCAAAAGTATTCCATAGCTCATGGCCCTCACGAGTGTTATAATTTAGATATTAAAAATGAACTTCGTAATTTGCTTTAGGCGCGTTAGTTATATAATTGTCATGGCTTTTATTAAAATCTGGGGGTGCATTTCATGTGACCCAGTTCTAATTTCCAACAAGGTTAGATAGAACGTGTCGTGAACCACGGGTGCATTTCATGTGACCCAGTTCTAATTTCCAACAAGGTTAGATAGAACGTGTCGTGAACCACGGGTGCATTTCATGTGGCGTGGCTTGAGATATGTTTTAAATAACATTGCATTAATTCTTTAAATAAGTAAAAGAGGTTTTCAAAAGTTAAAATATACCATAGGCTAAAACATGTATTAAAATCAGTAAATAGGCCAATTATAACAGTTGAGCGACCGTGCTAGAACCACGGAACTCGGGAATGCCTAACACCTTCTCCCGGGTTAACAGAATTCCTTACTCGGGTTTTTGGTTTGCAGACTATTGAACAGAGTCAAGCTTTTCCTCGATTCGGGATTCAACCGGTGACTTGGGACACCATAAATCTCCCAAGTGGCGACTCTGAATCTTTTAACAATAAATTCCATTTCGATTGTCCTTTAATTAGAAAAACTCCTTTATACTCCCTTTTTCGGGGGTGTAAGTAAAAAGGAGGTGTGACATTTATGATTATTACTCACTGAGTCGGAGTACTCACATTACTCCCTGCACCGTGTGTGCAGATTCAGGCGTCGCAGAGTCCGCTCCTGAGTGCTGATCCTCCCAGTCCAGGCAGTGTTTTCGGAGACAACGAGGTAGTTGTTGGCGTCCGCAGCCCCCGTGCCTCCCTTATCTTACTATTTTCATGTTCTTGAACTTCTGTAACGGATTTCGTATCTAGTAGACTGGTATCCGGAACTATTAGTTCCTCATGACTTGTGACACCCCAATTTGGGCTGTGTCGGGATGGTTTCTACTGTTGTTATCATTAATTCCACAAATTATGATTATTATATCACGTTTTAGAACTACTTATGGTATTTAACTATTTAAAAGAGGTGGTCTATTTTAGTCTTGCTGGCCTTGTCTTAACGAGAGGCGTCATCACGACCGGATTCGGGGAATTGGATCGTGACAAATAGTATGCTTGAATCTGNCATTATAAGTGTACTTCTTCTGTTCTGGAATGTTATAGTGATGCCAACTGGGCTTCCGATAGAAACAACTCTAAGTCTACTAGTGGCTGGTTACTCACTGTAGGAGGAGCTATAGTGGCTTGTTCCTCTAAGAAACAATCTTGCGATGCACTATCGTCTATGGAATCTGAATTTATATCTATGTCTCTTGCTAGCAGAGATATTCTATGGATTAGGAGATTCATGAAGTGCATACCATTTATTAATATTCCTAAAGGACCTATTACTTTATATTGTGATAACCAAGCTGCAATTCATAATACAAAGAATGAGAGGATGTCTGGCAATAGCAACCATATTGCCATGAGATACAATCATGTGAGAAGTCTTGTGAAGAAAGGTAAAATTTCTGTTAAATATCTTCCAACTAATCAGATGTTGGCAGATCCTCTCACAAAAACTTTATCAGGTGAGAAAATTGAGAAAGTCATGGGAAACATGGGGCTATCTCCATTTTAATAAAGGTAATCTTGAATGACGTCTACTCTTTCATATGAATGTCAGTTTTAACTAGAAATTCATATTCTAAGCATTCAAGGATAAGTTCTCAAGAATTATCCAAGAAATATTA